TGGTGTTTTAAGAATGAAATTAAAAAATTCAACTGCCTAACAAGGAGTTTGACAGTGAGAACACAATGCATGGGGAGATTAGCAAACTCTATGGTTGATGGTCTTGCAAAGCAAGGGGTAAATAGGGAAAGCTTATATTGGGCTCAATTGTAGATTGAATATGTTTCTTGTTTCCTATTTTCTTTCTATCTTTCTTCTTGCTATTAGGAGATGACGCAGCTCGTGCCTCTCCATGGGAAGCTTGTAATTGCATTAATTCTCTATTAATGAAACTTATCTTATTACTTATAAAAAAATAATGTTATATATTTATAAGAAAAAAAATATTGGGTACATCTCTAATATTATACATTCATTATATTGAAAAAAAAATAAGTATTATAAATAAGAAATAATTTTATCATTGATGGAAATGTAATACAAAATTTAATGTCTAACTAGAAATCAAACTATTTTCCTTTTTGGGTAGTGGTTAGGTTTGGGTAAAATGGATTAATCGAAGAAATGATATTTAAATAAGAAATTTTTAAAAAATAAAAAAGTACAAGTAATCAAAAGAATATATCAAAATTATATATTAATTATGTCAAACAAAAATTAAGTGTGATAAGTAAAAATTCTTTATATAAAGTAGATGAAATATATAATTTAAAACTAATCATAAAGCAAAACTATTTTCTTATCTAGATGATGGGTTAATGATATAACTTTTCAAAGAAACTCATGATGTCATAATTGAATAATAAATATTTAAAAAAAGATATAACACAAAATATGAAAAATGATGAAATTTTGTCAAAAACATTTGAGAACATTTCTAATGTTATATATCCATCATATTAAAATAAAAATTAATTTTATTTGTGATAATAATAATAATAATAATAATAATAATAATAATAATAATAATAATAATAATAATTGTTTTTTTTTAATTTAAAATTATCATGCGTAGTGAAAGTGCACATTTACTACAAGTGTTTAAGTTTATATTTAATCATATTGTTACTTTTGCTAATTTTCAATTTCTATCTTAACTATGGTATATCTAAAATTCAAGTAATTAATATGAAGAAAAATTACTTAACATGCAAAGCACATGCTAAGTTACTAGTAGATATAAATATATGCATTCTGTTTGTGCCATATTTATTGCTAACTTATGGAGATTTAAATCATTTTTTTTATTACTTTAATGCAAATCCTTTTTCGTATCATACTACTACAGGATGTTAAAATTAAACGGGCTTTAATTTTATTTTTTTAAACACCTTGATAGTCTATATAACCTATTAAGATATGTATCTCTGATGAATTTATATCTTATATGTATAGTTGCTTAAGCCTTAAATTCAACCTTATAAATGCACTTGTGGGATTCATATGAAACTATGTATACATGCATATCCTAATCATAACACTACTATATATCTTGGAATTGCGTTTCTATACCCTATCTAAATAACATGTAGATATATTTTTTTGATACTATGTGATACAATTAAATCCAACGAGGAAAAGGACACCCTCACACTAAAGCATGTAACAATACTATATAGTCTAAAACTTCCCCACATTACAAACATTGTCAACAATCAAGCCCTTTTGTCCCTCATATGCTAATCAGTCAGCCACCTCTTGAATGTGGTTTTACACAATCTCAAGTCCGCCCTCCCTTGTAATCCTCTTGCATTCATCTATAGTGTGTTAGGTGGTTGAATTGGTTCTCTCTATAGCACCAATCGTTATTTTTAATATGGATGCAGTGTCAACGGTATTCGAAAATCAAATCGAATTCAAATAACTCAAATATCATAATCGGTTGAATTTGGATATCCTATTCATACTGATTAGTTAATTGGATTCGAATTCAGATATGACCTTATTCAATTCGATAAATATCCAAATTTGATTGATTATTTAATTTTTATATATAATATATAAAATATTTAAATTTGAATTGAATCAAATATTCAAATATTTAATCGAATTTAAATTCGAATATTAAATTTCAATATTTGTCGGATATCAAAATTTTTATTCGGATTTGATGATGTGATCTGGTTGCTCCTAGCTAGAAGGCAGCTCTGACGTTTGTCAAACATGTGGTCGGTCGAACTACTAGAAACATAGTATTAGAGGTCTTGGGGCGCTTTATCTGGTGTGGGCACTCCGATGCTTAAATTAGCGAAGAGTGTTGTAATGAGCTGATTTGCTTATAAACAAGAGAGCAAGAGAGCTAAATCACGTATACCTTATGAGGCTGGTGGTGATGCCCTTATATAGAAGATCTGCTGTAGGCCTCACAAAACATATCTGAGATCTCTGACCCACATTATCAGGAGTCTGTTTCGCACCCAGAGATAGACTTCGTGTGAGATGATAAGGCTCGAGCTGACCTARCATGTTGAGGTGTTTGATAATGGTGAACTGTCATCTAATCATTAGGTCGCTCCACATGTCCGATCACCAACAGGTCGGGCCAAATTACCCCTCATCAAGATTCAAATTCAATTTATTTACACCCCTAATTTTTAATTCTCCTTCAATGACCACCTTTTTTAATTCTTATTTCAATTGACAATTTATAGGCTTCTAAGCACGCTTTCATTTCGGCCACTTCTATTGACCAGATCCCAATGGATCTAGTACTTAGTTTGATAACTTTTCCTTTGGKTCCCTTGAGAAACACCCAAAATCACAGTTGTTTTCCATATCCTTTGATGCATCAAAATTTATTTTGAATACATTTTCCTCGAGTGGGATCCGATGCATCCATATTTTCCTATAGGTTTTGGACCCATGTCGATAATTGAAGTATTGAACCTTGACAACTTTCATCATTCCCTTTAATGTGCAAGCCACCCCTACAAGAAAAAGTCAGGCATACCCTCATCAGGCCATTAGGTTGTTACGTGAGCCAATTGGCCAGTGAACTGTTGCACTCAAATTTGTGAAAGAGAATAAAAAACGTAAATGGTTGGAAAATTTTAGAGTATGACTAGCATCTCTATGTTAAAGGACAAATAGACCTGTTAGTCCGATCGCCTGGCCCATTATTTATTGGATTTGGACAAAATTTAAAGCCTGTAGGTTCGGGCTTTTTAGAGTAAGTCTGGCCCCAGCTCAAAACTGGCTTAATAATATTATATATAATAATAATAGTTTATATATATTATATTATATAATAATAATAATAATAATAATAATAATAGTTTATTAAATTATATTATAAATAAAGTATTTTTACGTTTAAATCAGACTTTTGGTCTTGGGCTCAGGTTTTGAACTTTATATAAAGGTCGAATTTGGTATCAGATCTAGACATTTTCTATTAATAAAAAGGAAAAACCTGGCCTAGATCCATCTGTGAACAGGTCTAATGATAAAGAGTAGATACATATGGATAATCTTTTGAGCTAATTACTTTTCTGTAACTCACCATTATTTAACTAGGACCCAGAAAATGGTCATGGGTCAGTGGTTCAACCATCTGATCCCGTCTGAGTCTTAGACAATGCAWTGAACAAAATCACGTATCCAATTTATTGTTGTTTGGTTGGTGGTTGTAAGCTCACATTCTTTGCCATAAATGCACAATTAATTAAGGCTGTACTTCTGAAACAAACTTTCAGAATTGTGATATGGTGTGCTCTACAATGCTACCCCTAACATAGTGTGTTTGAAGAGTTTACATCTCCGCGTGTATTGAGAACATCTCCCGATGATAGATGCACAATTAATTAAGACTGTACTTCTGAAACAAGCTTTTAGAATTGTGGTCACAAAATACTGAAAAAGTATGGTGTGCTCTACAACATTACCTCCAACAGTAGTGTATTTGAAGAATTCACACCACCACCCCACAAGGAACCGCCCCACAGCACATCTCCGCCGTGTATTGGGAACATCTCCCGATGATTAAGGCGTTGTGGGGCGGAGATGTGATCTCGTGTTTGAAGATCAAGGTTATAAAAGTCACCATATTCTTGATGGTGCATTGAATGTTGAATGTTAGGTCTGGTTAACTCAACACATAAAAAAGGAGTGTTCTGTTCACAGTGTTATGTGTATTTATTATTGGATGACAATAGTAGTAGTGTGATTGTTCTGAAACATGAGAAACAAGAGTGTCCCAAAATTCACAATATCTTCAGTTTGTAACGTGTTATGAAACCAGTAAAATGGACTTTTGTCAGAGTACCCCTAGTCCTCATTTGGCAGTGCTTATTAGTTAAATAAGTGCTTATCCTAATTAATGCTTATGAAGGTTTGGTGGAAAAGCACTTCTTTCATACCGGGGTAGTATAAGATTTTGAAAATTACTGACAGGCCAAGATGGATCAGAAGCACTAATTGAAAAAACGCTTAAAAATAAGTTGAAAATTTTGACTTTTAAAACGTGCTTACTTTCTGGAATAAATGGTTAATTCCAAAATGCACATAAGTGCTTATTAGTGTGGTCTTTACCCAAGATAAGTACTTATTATTTGAATAAGTTTTTAAAAATAAACACCCCCGAACGAAGATTAGAGCTAAATATGTTGGTTGTTGGACATTCTGGCAGCTCAATTTTGCAATTATAGTACACATTTTTTTTAAGCTTAAAACACAAGCAACCAGGATCAAAATTTCGCAATATCGTACGGGTGATCCACCCATACACAATGGTAGGGATGGTTTGGGGGTTCATATCATTTGTTGCTTTCTTTCCTTTTCTTTAGGGTAAATTTCTAAAACCTCTGAGTGTTGCTGAAATCTCTCATAAAATTTGGTAATTTTAATTTTTTCTCTGAATTTTTTGATACAGTTGCAAAGAATATATTAGAATCCTCTAACGAGAGCCATTAAAATGTCCAAAACACTCGTGGAGTTACCATTTAGGTTGGTTTATATGAAAAAACAATACAAATTTAAGAATAATAAAAAAGAAGAGAGAATTTAAAATTGCAAAGCTTTACCTTAGAGTGATTGATATAAATGACAAATTTGAAAAATAAATCAATTTCAAAAAAGAGATTATAAGGGTTTGGGATAGTRATTTATCCCAATAGATACTTCGAAAAATAATCAGATGTATGCGCATTTTGGACATTTTCATGCTGTTGCCTCTGTTTAGAAGATTCTAACGAGGAACCTACTTACAATTATGTCAAAAAGTTCAGACTTCAGAGGAAGTGATTGTAATTACCAAACTTCTGGGAAGGTTTTAGCAACAACCAACAATTTTAGAGAAGTTTGAGCAATTTACCCTTTTCTTTAGTTATTTATTATTCCCTCCACCCATTTGTTTGTTGATTTTCACATGCTAGCTAGCATTTGCCCTCAACCTAATGTCAAACTTGCTTCATTACTAAGTCGTCTGCTGCATTAATTGTTTGAGCATGCCAAAAATTTCTTTGTATTTCTGTTAGACATGGCGTGGTGAATGATGAATCCCGGAGCTCCGTGATAATCTGATCCATCCAGCTAGTAGATGAGGACCTATCCAACAATCACATTGTTCGATGCTTTTAGTCGTCTACAAGTGCGTTTTCATGGCCGAATGCCTCTCCATCAACCATACAAGATGGCCGACTGTCGACTGATGCAGGCTTGTATCTATGTTTCTGTTAATGCAATTCATGAAAAACAGAGGATCAGAGATTGATAATTAAAACACGCCCAAACACCACTAAAACCAACTAGGAAGACAGATTATGGCACTAGGCAGCATACTACTTGAAAAACTATAGATTTCCTCCAATAAGTAACTATTAATTCGGGTATACACAACTGTTTACTCTTTCTCTCTAAGTCTCCAAAAGCGCATGTAGGGGCCGGCTGTTTGCCACTCTGCAATTCCTTCGGATCTCCCCTGGTCGGCCGGACTGCAAGTCACCCATCTTTATCATCCCTTCGACGAAGGCCGCGAAGAACGCCTCTTGGTCCCTGCTAAAATATCGGACATACTTACGTGTCCGAGCGGCTGACGTGAAGAGTGTTTGGTCGGAATTAAGGAAGCCTTTAAAGGAAACGAGGTCCTTGAAGTACTGGTTGTCGAACACATAAGGAGTTGCGTCCAGGTCCCCTGTTACGTTCCCGTCTCCTCCCAGTGGACAGAGCTGGTCCAGCTTCTCCCTGTATTTGGGATCCATAGCTGGGTCAGGCCTCTCCGTGCCCGACTGGTTGTAGAGGCGAAACACGATCGAGAAGCATCGTCCTTTGCCGATGGAGTGAGAGCCCGAGAGGGCCACTAGGTCCTTCACTGAGAGGTTGAACTGGCTGAAGAGATCGACGAGGTAGCTCGCGTTGGCTCTGGGGCTCGGCATGATCCTGTCAGAGTCTTCTTGGCTGGCTGTCAAACTATCCAGTCTTCCCAACTTGACTTCCCAATTGGGTCCTCCACTCTGCAACCAAAACACAAATTACTCCGGTAAATGAAAGCACAATGTGAAATATCAATGGAATTAATTGGGTGCTTGCAGTTTCAGTAATTGATGTTTGTTACCAATACAACGGCATCTCTAGCGGCCATGATTATGATATCTGCGCAAGAAATGACCCCCGGACAGGCCTGCTCCAAGGCTTCCTTTGCCTCATCGATGACTTCATAGGATCTGAGCGAGTTTATGTTAGACAAAGAGAGTTTCTCGCCGAGCATATCGGGTGTGTCATCTAGTAACAGAGAAGCATCGCAACCCTGCATTGGCAAATAGTAAAACAAGCAATTTGTAGATTAATTACTGAATGTAAAGAAGAAAAGAAGGGAACCCAAATAACCTTAGGGACATTAGGGAAACCTACATTAACAAAGCAGTCATGGAACTGCAAGCGCATGACTGAGGCAGCACTTCTGAGCTCTCTCTTCATGGCTTTGATTATCACATCTCTGACTATCTTTTCGGCTGCCGGGCATGTCTGAGCATAGAAACCAGGTCTCAATTGGGTTGGTGCAGCAGCTGTGGTTTTTATCTGGAGGAAGAAGAGGAGGTAAAGGAATTGGATAAGAAGCGCATGCATCATCTTGTGGGTACAAGGCGAGCGAGAGATGCTTTTGGTGATGTGATCACTCCATTCGGGATAGCGTTAATGAGAAAGTTCCCAGATATTTTTATACGTTGGAGAAGCATGGGCGGATGGATGGGCATGGGGCATGGCCGCATGGGGCATGGGTTGATGGATGGATGGATGGATGATGTAAGATGAGGTTGCAACAAATGGCGCGAGATTCTTGCATGGGTGTCTCAGTGTCAGCCATGAACGAAGTTCGTTATCTCATTTGTGGGGGGGCCTGAGGGGAAAAATACAGGCCCAGATACCCAATGGGAGAGGGAGGTCGAGCCCAGAAGAGAAGATTCCTGAAGGTGTTAGTGGGTGGGCTCCCCGTTGATCGTCACTCCCCTTGGCYCTTGGCCCTTGCCCCATGGGACACGCCGACACCCACCTCGTGAGATTGTGAATACTTTTTGGCCGTGAATTCATGTTTATCCTACGCAACAGATTGGGCCCACCCTTTTTCTTTGGTTAATTGAATTGGTTCAAGCAATAAATATGGGCTATGAGGGGATCATCCCTAGGCCTCTGGGGTGCGCGGGGGCCCATAATGCATAAAGTAAAATTATACAAGTAAATATCTGATTGGGGTTGTGGAATGGGGACAGTCCACCCTCAGTCATCCAAAATGTTCAATTATTCATCGAATGTGGGCTTTGTGGCCCAATAATTGAGATGTTTCACCACCGTAAAGCAGATGATGTAGAAGAGTAGAAGACCAAGTGGGGGTGCCGGGTGGCCCCCTCCTTCCCTCTTCTTCCCGTGATCGGAATTAATTCTCTAATAATAAATAAAACTGAATATTGTCATATTGATATTGATGTTGGCTCTTCAACAGCGGAATTAAAATGATGAATATTGACCGCAAATTAAAGGCTTTAATGTGGAAGGCCTGCTTTTTGAAATAGTGATTATTTGGCGTGTGAGTACTGAGTAGTAGTAGTAGTAGAGAGTAGAGAACGAAAGGCTAAATTCCTAGTGACTAATGTCGATGACACGGTTGAGAGTGATACAAAACACTTGCTTGCTTTTCTAAATCTTCTCTGCTGCTAGGGAAAAGTGACTCATGAAAATAGATGAAGAGAATGACGTATAACCTTTGGCTTCCTCAGTGCAAATATGTCGTTCTATTCCAATTACTGATGTAATGTCGTTGTTGCGGTTTGGGTGGGCCACATTTTGCTTTGGCYCTAGTCCAAAGGCCATCATACTCACAGTCCACTACTAGCCTATAGTCATCCAACTTAGGGCAGCATTGGCATGTTATTTTTGAAATTTCTATCCGGAGCATAAGCATAAGCATCCAGCATTGAATATGCTTAAGAGTTGAGAGTTAAGATCGTCCAAATTAAGCCTTACATCTATGCTTGATGGTTAGGTTACTACTCCTTGGGCTGGGCCATACTCCAACATATACTATCTGGGTTGGCTTGAGGACCTTGAGGTCTCATATCATATGACATCGAGCATTTCGATGCCTGGGTGGGTGCGTACGTCAGAGGTCAGACCAAGTCGTCATTACTTTTAGGCTTTAGCTAATAAAGATGGATAATGAATATATTTGGTCGAAATAGAGGTTGAAGCTCTAACTTAAGTTTTGGATTGGATTAGTGGACAAAGATATATAAAGGCGTGCTGTACCCCCACCATTAAAATCCGAATGTTGCAAAGAAAGATGAGAGACTGGATGGAAATAAGATAAGGCTTCCTTGAAGGTTGTTGTCAACTTCCTTTAACTGAAAAGAAAAGATAGAAGCTCCGTGGAGTGTGGGAACTCTTATCCAGGAGCAGGAAGCCATCACCATCACCTGTGGCTGTGGGTACCCTGATAGAAAGTGAGGCTGGATGGATCAATGCGTCGTGTGAAGATAACAAAGCGGCCGGACGGACTTATTACTGATATCAGGATGGGCCTAGTAATAGGGGAAGGGGACCACCTAGCTTGGTCGGTCGGTCGGTTTGAATATCATCTGTTTAGCTAGGTTACTTGTTACAGAATTAACGCCCATTTTTGCGAGGTGGGAACCATCTGAAAAGACTATACACAAACACAATGGTTGGTTCAAATTCCAGAGAGCCAATTTTGACCGGTGAGAACGCTGATTTGTGATTGTCTGATTGGTTCATAAAAGAGGGTTTGTTTTTCTCCTGTTTGGGTTTAACTTCCCCCGCCCCCTAGGCCTAGAGGGAGCGAGGGACCTTATAAACACTAAATAGGAACAAAGTTTTAATGAACAACCTTCACAACAAACTGATTACCAAACAAAAAAAAAAAAAAAAAAAACCTCCACAGCAAACTGCCTATAATGTAAGAAGTAAAAGAAGACTTAATAATACACGATCGTCAAATCACCAAGGTCTGTTTAGTTACTTTAGTATAAAAAATATATATATATATATATATATATATATATAAGAGCACAGTATAGCAGGATAAATAAGATATTGAAGCAAAAAAATATCAAGGAAAATTCTATGGCACAAAGTATGCAAGTTATCTGTTAGTAAAACCGCATCAAAATAATTAGCGGCAACAGCCGGTAATCAGCTTCTACAACAATTTCGGCAATAAGATGCCAACCGTCCAGCAGAGATTCCCCTTGACGGATCAAATGTTCCAGTCACTAAAAGAGGAGTTTGACTAATTAGCAGAAGCCCTCATAGTTGTTCAATTCACCCCACACAGTCTTTTCAACTTCTTCCCATGAATTGGCTCCTCTCAGTTCCTTCCACAAACTAAAGATGGCTCCTAGGACGTTTTCCTCATGCAAGATACAGTAGCACCTGCAATGATACGATGTCCATATGTAATATGCACTCTATAAAATTTTTCCTCGGCTACAATTAATAAATGATATAACATCTGTAATATGCACACTTGTCATGGAAATAAGTATTAGGATCATTGTGATGCTTACGGCACGGTACTCCTACTATAATAAAATAGAAGTAGGGCAAACATACGAGTACTTGTATCAATGGATAAAAATCTAATATGATGTAATTGGCCAGTATTAATATTCTTTCTCTACGTTAATTTGGTTTTCAAACTGTTAGGATGATCATCCAATTAGGGGAATTTTGGATTGTTAATCAATTAGAAGGGCCGCACCATTTCACAGTGCAGAACAACCTGCATGAGAACCATGTCAACAATTGAATCATACTTCATGCTGTACTGCATAAACAAAGACCCATATCCTTCCCAGAAAAGTATGACCTGCTTCTTCCCCTAAAAGGCCGGATACTACCCACGGAAACCAAAAAAGGAAACAAATATGATATTTCTTTGTACTCTTCATACCATACCATAACCAAAAAAAGAAGCAGAATTTATTAAACAAAACCTTTATTCATCAAATCAACTCTCCTAATTTTGATCACAATGATATATATAGACTCAAAATAAGAGCTCAAATATCCCTTTACAGACTAAAAAATTGAGTCAAACAACTTCTAATTGCATCAAAACCAAGAGAAACCCATAGGGACACTTAAATAAAGACTCTTAACTCCTAAAATAATGCCAATAAYTCATTGCTAATCCCACTAAAACTAACTTAATCAAAAGAAACTAGAAATGACCAGAAAATAAATAAATAAATAATTTAGTAAAAAGTTACCATATTTGAATTTTGTAAGAATAGTAATAACCAAGGTTCAAAGTATCGATACGATATGCCCCGTATCATGCATGCCGTATCGTATGTTTGGGCCCCTGATACACCTGTTTATAGGTGTTTTCAGGAATCCATTTTTTTAAAACTAAAAAAAGGCATATGGTGTAAAGTACCGATACACCTCTGCCAATACACAAAGGTGTATCGATACTTTGAACCATGGTAATAACTCCAATAACTCATCACTACTTCCTATCACCCAAATCCGGAATTTAGTGTAGGAATTTGAATAAAACTGATTTCGTTCTCCATACTACAAATATTTAGAACTTCTCTTTGTCCCTTGTTTAGGATGAAGTGGTTCTTTTTTTTTGGCATTTGATATACACCCGAATCCCCATAGGGGCTGTTGAGTAGCACAGCACCACAACCCACTCCCTAAAGTGGTTCAATTAAACACCAAGAACTTTTAGGTATTATCTATGCAAGGGTATACTGAAGTGTTATCTCTCCAAGGATTATTGAAGGGAAGATGCCAATCAGTGGATTATGCTCAAAGGTTAAATCCTCAATTCTTGATCAGGTTTGGTTTTGAGGGTTTGGCAGTATTATGTAGTGCTTATACTTTTATATATTTTTTATCAGCATGCTTATACTTCTGTATTGTACTAGAGAATGACCCTCCGTACTAAGTACAGGGCCAGTATTCTGATTTTTTTTTTTGTTATTCATGTATTCTGATAAATTTTGTTTGACACCTATTTTTTTGTTTGACATGAGTTTTTGTTTTTGCTTCCTTTTTCTTTTTAGTGAAGGTAACTACCATTTGAAGCTCATGCTTTTTTTTTTTTTTGAGTGGGTAGACACATGCTTGAGGAAGGAAACTTTTGCTTGAGAGTGGAAGTAACCACTTTTGAGATGCTCTTTCTTGGGAAAATAAGATGCCACTTTTCTGATGGAGAAGCTCTCTATCTGAATATTAAAATATAAATTAAGAATATTGGAGTAATTAATACCCAGAAAATACCAAACCATTAAACTGATTCTCTTCTCAGATGTGGATATTGCCTTTTTTTGTGAAAGCCCAGTAAACAAATTAACATTTTAATAGCCAAAATAAATTCAAATGCACATCATGCACCTAGATTAACAATCTAACAAAAATAACCCTGCCAAGAGATGAAATAAACAGTAGGACAAAGCATATTCTTAACTTACATGGCATGGTATGAGAGTCGTTCAAACTTATTTCCACTTTCTAGTGGTCTACACTCTGATGTTTTCCTCATAAAAGGAAGCCTATAGCTTTCTAGGAAGCGCCAAAATAAACGTGAATCTCCCTTAAATACATCCAGATGTATTGGTATCAAATCATATATGGGGTCGCCTGCAAAGGAAATCAGTTATGGTGAGCTACCAATTGTAAATCATGAGTTAAAAGAACATATATTTCTTTCTAAGATAAAACTAGTACATAGTGTTCAAGTTTGTTATAGGAATAAACAACTAAACTTGGATTGAGCTTGGACTAGACATATAAAACTGATAGCCATTGTGGCAGGTTTACAGCTTAAGCAGTCAATTATGGGCTAGTGGCCCTTTCTTAAGTAATATGCTTATAGTGTGATGTACAGGACATTAATGCACTCACTCAAGTAATAATATGACTATCAAGTACAAACTGAAACCTCTCTATGCTCCCCTCAAGCTGAGAATAGAAGGTAAGCATGCCCAGCTTGACAAGTAATCAATCAAATCTTGTTTTAACAACTCCTTTTATAACTATGTTTACTATCTCATTTTCTGACTTCATAAAAGTGATACATTTCAAGTACAAACTGAAAGTTCCCTACACTAACCTGTGCAACTTGGATCAATTTGCACCCTATAGTGATGGTTTGAAAATATAAATGATTAGAGAATAGTATTTTTCATATGTTTTAGCAAAGGGCTACTTGCATCAAGATGAAATAACGAGTTCCCTTCTCATGTGTAGTACACATGACACATGTGTGCAAGGAGGACAAATAGGGAACTGTTTGGTGATTAAAAAAGCAACCTTCTCACATGCAAAGATCAACCTGATTTGATGATACTGACCATTCATAAAATGTCTTATATTTCCTTCTAGACCAAAAAGGAAGAAAAAGATAGATAAAGCTGTTAAGTCAGTAATCCAATTGGATTGGTTATGGCTTGAAAAAAATAGTAATGCCTATCCAAATGTCGACCATTTGTACACATAAGCTGGGAAGGTGGCACATATCCCATCCTTCCATCCTGATAACAGTGAATTAGGTTCCACTAAATTAAAACTTTGCAATGTAACTAGTGAAACCATCTTATTAAAATCATTCACCTATGGACAGGTCACTGAAGTCAAGAATGTGGTTAGGACTCCATTTCTGCTGCTCCCTTATGTCACTGCAACCATTTTCAGAACCAAGCAAACATGGTTCCATGTGAATATTGTCATCCATGATATCAGAGTGTATCCAGGTAGAAGTTCTGCAAGCCTTGTATTGTCCATCTTCATCCTAAAATAAGACAAAAAATAATTTTAGAGATCATAGGAAGAAGAAAAATATCATAAAGTTGTGAAAAGAACAAAGTGGGGAATTTTTTAAAAACCTTGAATATGTTAAGCAACACTGATAAATCATCTGGGATGTACTCTTCTACTTTCTCTATCAGATTGCTTGGAATTGGATCACCCCTGCAAATAGAAACTGACACATGCTATTCATATTTGTAGAGAGACTGGGCCGAATGGGCGCTAGTACTTATTTATACTTTACGTAGTGTTCTGTTTATATTTTATGTGTTAATGCATTTTCATTATAGGCCTGTTAATTAGTCTTTTTTAAGTGAGACTAAATAAAAGATTAAGAGAGAGAAAGAGGAGGGAATCCATCAAACTTTCTTCTCCATCTTCTTCCTTCTTCTGTAATCTCTTTTCTCTGTTCTTTTATTGCTGTGATCAGATTTGAAGGACTGTTTTACATCTATATTCATCTTTTAGTTCCTTTTTAAGATTATGCAGGATTCCAATTATCAAGTTGGATTTCTAAATTCAGTAATTGTGACACCAAGTCTATCAATACCACTGGATGCAAATAAAAGAACATAACCTATGTGGTAAAGAAAATACATTCAGTGAGACACAGAAAACCCATTTGTAGTCCAAATAATATTATAATATACTAATAATTATGGATGGAACAATGTCTTAAATCTCAACTTTGTCAGTCAACTTTCCAGTCAAAATACAAGCAAATTTGCTCCTCACCTCAAAGAAAAGAACATTGTCAATGTCGTCATACTGAAAAATTTGCATGAACAATGTCCGGAACTTAGTTGATGTTTAAAAATATAAAAAATTTAAAATTCAGTCAAATCAAATAAACTCCCAAAGTTGTTATTGCTTCATTAAATTCGAACTCCATAAAAGAGTTAGAACATGATCCCATGCTTATAATTAAGACACAAAGCATGCAGAAAATATGCTTATTGTTAGGTACTTTTATCTATATAGAGTGTCTCATAAGAAARTCTGCATTGAGGTTTTTGAGCTTTAGGAAGTCATAGCTGGGACTGAAATTTGGTAATGGCCTTTTATTACCATACGGAAGTTTAGGACCATCAGCAATGGTCCCACCTTGACCTACAATTTTCAAATATGAGAACATCTGCATGCATAGAGGATAGTTACTGTTTGTTGGAACACAGCAGCCGAAGAAGAAGAAGAAGAAGAAGAAGAAGAAGAGAAGAAGTTTTGAGAAAGGCGGCTTACCCACTTCAGCCGGCCCTACAATCTTATATAGATGATTATAAAATAATGTTACATGAATGGACTAGAATGCCCCTGATTAGTGATGGGACACCTAGACAAATAAAACAAATAAAACATTAAACAAGTTTAGGCCCAATAATTAAGGCCCAATAACTAAGCATGGATGTCAGTTATGTTTAGCTTGCCAAGTAAGTTTGAGAACTTCGTTGAAGCTAGTCCTTTAGTTAACACATCTGCAATCTGCATCTCGGAAGGAGTATAAGGAATGCAGAGTTCTCCTGAAACGATTCTTTCTCTAACGAAGTGTCGGTCAATCTCAATGTGCTTCGTCCTATCATGTTGCACTGGGTTATTTGCAATGTTGATGGCAACCTTGTTGTCACAGTACAGCCTGAGTGGACACTCGACCTTTACCCCGAGCTCAACAAGAAGGGTCCTAAGCCACAGTAGTTCAACAACACCATGAGCCATAGCTCGATATTCAGCCTCTGCACTTGATCTAGCAACCACATTCTGCTTTTATATTCGCCATGTAACCAGATTTCCTCCAACAAACGTGCAATACCCAAAAGTAGACTTCCTGTCGCCAATAGAGCCAACCCAATCTGCATTAGTATACGCTTCAATTTCAATTTTATTGTGTTTTTTGAACAAAATTCCTTTTCCTGGGCAAGTCTTCAAGTACCTAAGAATTCTTTCCACTGCTCTCATATGAGGAATCTTTGGAGAGTGCATGAACTGGCTGACAACATGTACAGCATAGCAATATCTGGTCGAGTGAGAGACAGATATATCAACTTTCCTACCAGTTTTTGGTATCTCTCTTTATCAAGGTAGTCCTCTCCAACTGATTCCTGTAGACCATGGTTCTGTTCTATTGGAGTATCTGTTGGTCTACACCCCATCATACCTGTCTCCCCTAGAAGGTCAAGGACATACTTCCGTTGACATATATAGATGCCCTCTTGTGACCTAGCAACTTCAATTCCAAGGAAGTATCT